ATGCTGCAAATAATACCTCAGTAACGAACCACTTCCCTTGGCGCTTTCATTCGTAAATCACTAACGGTTGCTGAAACCACTGAATCCTGACGATGATGGATAACCCTTCTGTGGGACCCTATCCGCAGACTTCACACCTAATACCCCTTTTCCTAAAGGTGCTCCAAACAAGTTTCCCGCTCTCGGGCTCTAGAATCATTCTATTCAGGGTTCGCACCCTAACTCACTTACCCGCTCAAACGTCCATAGCTGAACTGCAACAACTGAAGCAACCTCTGCCCTAACTTGGGCTTCGAACTACTTCCCAAGACATAGTCTATAATTCCAAAAGTGCAATAGATCGCACAATAAACCCTTACTGTCCGATACAAGAGATCTAAGGCAAACCGGACATCACAAAATACTTATGCCACATCGACCCACCTGTGCTCAACGACGCTGAAATAATATCGCCAATCCCTTCAACCAACTGACCCCGAGCAAGAATACAACCTGATCCTGGGGTCACAAGCTTGCTCACTCCTTCGAGCTCGAAAAACTGAAAGGGCACAATCCTTGCCCTATAAAATGACAGTCCAATCCATCAATTAACCATTCCACTTCCAACTACAAAAACCCCAGCTGAACATAATCATCACTCCCTTCCGGAGTTCCCGCGACTCACATTTCGGCCTCGAGCAAACCCCCGAGCCTCTAATTTAGAAACCCACGTGCTAACCTCTCCCGCTCATCCCGCAGAAATATAACGAGTACAGATAGACCTGTCAATGGGGCGGGTTTTGACCCTGATTCGCTCCAAACCCGTAAGAATTTAACGGGTTTGGATTTTAATTTTTGATTCGTTTACCCGTTTACGATCCATACCCATTTACCCTTTTAGCAAATGGGTCGGGTATGGATCATGGTCGATTCGCTCCACTTATGACCCTCCCCATTTAATATATATATATATATATATATATATATATATATATATATATATATATATATATATATGACAACAAAATATACAACTCGATGTCTAAGTAAAATGTGATTTTTATTGTATTGGACTTTGAGTATTAATTAATGTACATCTTGTTTAAGTAGACATTTTATCATTTTGAGAAATATTACTTTGTGGAACACATAAAAATTACAAAAATTTAATATTATAAAAGGGTCGGGTTAATGGGTCGGGTATTCGTTGATTCGATGGATACGGGTATGGATTCGACTATTCAAGACCCTAAGGGTTATTGGAGCGGGGCGGGTCATGTTTTTATTTTTTTAAACAGGTTTGGATAAATGGTGATTCGCTCCAAACCCGCCCCATTGACAGGTCTAAGTACAGATCATCTTCCCGATCCCAAATAACTGCAGCCCTCTGCTCATCAGAATATGTCCCAGAACTAGGAAGCTCGACCAGCTCCTCCATTTGCCGTCGTTACAGCTGTTAAAGCTGCCGCGGCAACCGTCTCGGCAATGGCTGCATAGCGCTCGTCGAAATACTCAACCATGACGGTCTTAAAAGACCCAATCATCTCCGGAATCCGTCCCCGAACTATCTCGATCACCTATTCCCGGATGATCCCCTCCTGACACGATCCTCTGAAAATACTGGCCTATCCTGGCTGCCAGCTCTCGATCCTGATCCGGATCCGGTCTCGAAACGTCTCAAATAATCTATACCATAATCATGGGAACCGACTCCAACCCAACCCTGGGGGTTGTGACTTCCTTGATACGCGTATGGGTCCTGTGCTTTCAGTAGTATGGGCCCATACTACCTTCCACACCTACCCATATTTGTCTCAAGTATCACCACAACACCCTACAATATACATATACATAGCGAGCGATAAATCCTCACTCTAGACGAATGCTTAATATCTCATTATCGGCCTCCCGACCTCTCACTACCCACCCATCCATGAAACTTCCATCAACCCCTGCAGCACTAGTGTATGCTAGCCATACATAACGTTGGACCCTATAAACTTTCGAATATCCAATCCTACCCTAAGCCCTAATCAATAAGAACAGAACATAAGGCCAGATCAAACATTCTCAGACTATAAGATCTTAATTATATACAATTGTGATGCATACACAAGTAACTACAGTAATGATGTCAGTCTCATATAAGGAAAACCCTAGGCTAACAGGCATCATGAAATCAGGTAATTCTGTCATGCAATTCCTGAAGATCCCTAGCCTAGTACTAGCATGCTGTTCTAACATATCACAATATCAAATAACAGTATGGTATTTTGGGGTCTACTTACTGGCTCCGGCCGATCATACACTCTGCATCCTCCTTTACTTATTTTGAAAACCATTTTAGAAATCATTTTGAAAACCTTTCCTTGATTTGAGACTAGATTCACACAAATGTTCCTCCAATTCACTCAAACCATGGCTCTGATACCAACTTGTAACATCCCAAAAATTCAAGCCAATTTAAAACTTTTTGATTCATTTTAAACCATTCAATTATTACAATTTGTTTTCAAAATAGTTTATATATCAGAGTTCCCAGAAATCATAATCGTAATTCAAGGAAGTGTACGGTCACGCCTTCGCCTACTCGTGGCCATCCGCTGAACCTGATACAATAAACTGAAACTGTAAGCCCGAAAGCTTAGTGAGTTACCCCTAAAATACCAACCTCATATAACCATAATCATATCATATCAAAATATACAGAACATCCATGCATCTCGAGTATACAGTGTGACTGGTCCGCCCGCACCGGGCCTTCAGTCCACCCGGTCCACTCTCTGAGTCTACAGTATGACTGGACCGCCTGCACCGGGCCTACAATCTATCTGGATCTATCCCGAGCCTTCGGCATGACTGGACCGCCATACGGGCCTACAATCTGTCCGGACCTCTCGTAGGGTATGTTGGCCTTCAGCACGAAGCAGGACCGCCTCAACCCAAACATCAAGCAAATAACCATGTGCACATATAACAGGTAATCACATAACAGTCCATAGACAGACAAACCGATCTAGCAGATCATATAGTATAGCAACATCCTAACCAGGATACCGACCTAACCGGTCACTAACATAGCATCATCCTATATACCAGGATACCGACCCTAACCAGGTCACTAAACATAATACCGTCCTAATTACCAGGACGCCGATCTAACAGATCAATAAACATGTCAACAATCCTATAACCAGGATATCGACCTAACCGGTCACTAACATAGCATATCACCATCCTAACTACCAGGATGTAAATCAGTAAGCATATCATGCAATAATCCAAATACAAACCATAAAGGGTCGGCATTGGTGCCTTAGACCCTGTTGATATAGTGAGGATAACTCACCTTGCAATGCCGGACTGAACCACGAAAACACGCTCCCGAAACACTGCCCCAAACTCCAACACCTATAACCATCAATGATCCAATCATAAATACTCGCTTACCAATTATCCTCAAAAGTCAAAACGGTCAACCCTTGGTCAAAGTCAAAGTCAACTATCAAGGTCAACAGTCCATGTTGAGCTCAACTCGCCGAGTATCCTCAGCTACTTGCCGAGTTCCTTGCATAACTTGCCAACTCGCCGAGTCACCATGCCACTCGCCGAGTCCAAGGCAATCTTCATCGGACTCGCCGAGTTGTTCATCCAACCCGTCGAGTTCATGACCATCTTTATATGACTCGCCGAGTCTACCATGCGACTCGCCGAGTCCCTTCAGTCCTTTATCCATACAGATGCTTTTTAAGCCATGCTAAGACTCCATATTGCAGATCCAACTTCCCAAGGCATGCTTATCACGTAAAGTTGCAAACTTTACGTGAATGCAAGGCTCTAATGACTCATAATGCCAAATCCAAGCTTGAAATGGGGTTTTACACTTAAGGAGGGGTTCATACTTGCCAAAGCTGGTAGCTTTATGGACTTACAAATTAAAGAGAGTTCAGATCTGAAGTTACAACTTCAGATCTGAGCTCATACCCAAAAAATAGCTTCATAACCAAACCAAGAAGCCCTAATTTCATCCAAAGAGATCTAGAATGAAATGGAGTTGGGATAACAGCTTAATACCTTCCCAAAAGATGCCAACTGAAGTAGATCTTGATCCCCACGAATTCCTTGCTTCAATCCACTTGTTTCCCCCAAGCTCTTCTCACCAAGAATCCTCTTCCAAAGCTTAAAACACACAATGGGGCACACACACGTATTAGGGTTTGCTAAGATCTCAAGGGACTGTAAAGAGGCTAAAGGTGGCTTATGATTCTTTAAATAGGGTGCCAAACCCCAGAAATTAGGGTTTTACCTTCCGGCTCCAACTCGCCGAGTCACTCTTCCGACTCGGCGAGTTGGTCACTTAACACGTGGTCCAAACCCGCTGCTACTCGACGAGTCAGGCAACCAACTCGTCGAGTAGACCTTGAATTCATGAGAATTCAGAACCATATATTGGTATTCGAGAATCGGGGCGTTACAAGAAGTCTCTCCATTCGACCTAATGTTTGGATATATATATATATATATATATATATATATATATATATATATATATATATATATATATATATATACTAGAAAAGTTTGAGGCCCGTGCTAAGCACGACCCATTGAAAGTAACTTTGGCAATTTTTATTGTGTATTTAATGTCAAACAATGAAGCTATGGTTATGTAGTTGAAGATAAATATGAAATAGGCATGAACATTTCTATAAACTAACATACATTTGAAGTTTTACATTGCCAAAGTTAAGGTTAAGTGAGATATATATCATTTACATATTATTTACATATTCAACAATATAATATACATACATTTATTATTTACATTGGCAGTTGTTTGTTGGTTGACCATTGGGTAATACTGTGAAGGAATGAAATAGGTGACATGCAACATCCCTTATAATAATTTGATTCTGCATATAAATTATAAATTTCAATATCAGATTTAATATAAAGCAAAATGTTTTTCATTATGAATTTTCAGAAATGAGAATGATTGACAATTAAAAAGTATTACTTACCTATTTAATCTTTTTTGTTGGTCTTGAAGGAATAGGTGCAGAAGTTTCTATCTCCTTGGATTTATCGTTTTCAGGTTGGTGACGTTTATGTGTTTGCTTAGGGGAAGATGGTTTTGTTGATGATTGAGGATCAGTTGGATTTGAAGTTTTGATTTGTTGTTGGTTTTGGGTATATGGTTGTTGAAGTTTATGTGCCTTAACAATTACAAATCTTGTGGTTGTTTTTTGTTTGTGATGTGTTTGATTTGATCGTACAAATGCTACAACTGATAATGATTGAATTGATGCTGTAATTTTGTCATGAACATCTTCTCCCTGGTTCAATCAATTGGTTAGTTGTTTTAATAATGTATATCTTTACATTTAGGTAAATTAGAAAATAGGTTGCTTACATTTTCTTCGGCATCTCTAACTGCATTTGGATTAAACGAAATGAAGGTTTCTATATCTGGAGTAGAAATTGTTGCTCTTAACCTGTTCAAGGTAATACATGTAGTATTAATGTTTTTGTAGCTGAGTATTTATTGTATACTGACTTACATGATTCGGACTTTTGATTCAGTTTTGCAAGCAGGGCATTTGATGATCCAACTAACATCTGCCTCAACTGGTTTTAAACAATTAGCACATCCTGTTTGGGTGAAACTCCTATCTTGATGTGGCAAATTAAGAGTGCCTTTAACCCATTTTGGCTTACCTTATTTTAGGAAAAACAAATATTTTTATTTGGTATTTATCTTTGGAATAGAAAAGTTAATACTTCTCATTTATTTAGATTTGTGTACTAACATTTTCGATCCTTGCGCTTGCAATAGCTATAGGATGTATGTCCTCTTCTTTGGGATGCGGCAAAAGAATATCAGTATCTTCGTATGTTTCCCTTTGAAGTAAGCAGTTTATTTCTTTGCTGTTTTGTTGAAACCTGATATATAGAATGAAGTTATCATTGAAATAAATAGTTGGCTAATAGTTTTGTTAAAACATACCAGTTGTCTAGGCGTTGATCCGCGCTGACCGGTGGATTTATCAGGATTGAAGATCCATTAGCTGTTGACAGTGATAGCCCTACATTGGGAGTTACTTAAACTTTCTAATTTCTTTATCATGTATAAGCATATAGGTAGAGCATGTGTTAATTAAGAGTAGGTGACCGTACCATAGAAAGTTGTGATCTTCACTCTTATTGCAAATATCATTGGTGCAGTGTGGGTGATTTCTTCTAATGCTTTTCCTTCATTATCATCGAATGAGTCCCATAATGTTAGTAGAAGAAGTTTTTTCCTGATGATAATATACACAAATGTATAATATCAATAATTACTTTATATCTATAAGAAATGCAATGATATTGGCTTGTTCTTGGTTAATTGTTTACATACTCTTCATTAACAATAATCACATCTCTCTTTGATGATGTTTTTCCTCCTTGATTCATTTGTTGACTTGGAAAGCATTTAATAACGACCCCACGTACATCTGTGAATTTAGAACAATATCACGAGTGAGTTTGTAGTAAGTGGAAGGTTAATAGCCAAATATGTTAATTTTTTCTCACTTTGGTTGTTTTTTGCATCTGCGTACTTAAACATCTCACTGAAAGGGGTAAAGTTGAATAGGCATGGGAGTGTTGGAGAGGTTAGCTCTGGCTCTGGTTCAACGAGGGTTTTTTTGGTGAGTGACGAGGAATGCTCGTATGGACCTAATCGATATATTGGTTCTGTTGGTAGCAACTTTGCATTTGAAATGTGATAGTGTTTGTATACTTGGAATGTGTTTTTAAAAAATTCGAGATAGTCACTAATGATTAAGGCTGATACCTTAGTACCCTGTTAGATGTACACATGAATTAACATAATATACTGTTAACAAACGGTGCAATGTAATGTTCTTTTACCCGGGTATCAGTAAACATCACTACAAGAAGACTGGGCAACAGCGGCGACGTCTGTCGTCGCTAAAGGTTAGGGTTGTCGCCGCTAATACCTTTAGCGGCGACGTGTCGCTGCAAATGCATCGCCGGTAATGCTTCGTCGCTAATACGCTTCTGGTCGCCGCTAAAGGGTGCTCGTCGCCGCTATTGACGTGTCGCCGCTAATACTAGTAACGCGCAATTACATGTCGCCGCTATTGCCCAGTGTCGCCGCTAAAGGGGTCGCCGGTAATGCCAAGATTTCTTGTAGTGCATCAGTCTTCTGTAGTAATTTTAGGATCTGCTCTGTTTTGTATCCCCACACTCTAAAACCTGAATGATGACAATCCATTTTTTGTTCAGGGTTGGAGTAATATCCAATATGTTTGATAGTTCCCTCTCCATCTTGTCGTGGTTGTGCTAATTTGTCATCTGAAAACGTACAAGGGTTTTGGTGTTTACTAGGGGTGTGCAAAAAACCGCACAAACCGCCCGCACCGCACCGCATAATGCGGTTTAGAATTTCGTGGTGCGGTTTGCGGTTCATCATTTTATCAAACCGCACTATGCGGTGTGGTTTGCGGTTTGTATTTATAAAACCGCGGTTCAAACCGCACCGCACCGCATGTTATATATATACTTTTTTTTCTTTACTTTGTTATAATTTCAAATCACGATTTAGAAACGATGTATTTAAATATATTTCTTACAATAACCAAATATCTATAACGTAACATTAAATCACTATTAGATGAAGATCCCACGGTTTACAAGAATATAGCAACTATAACGACATTATAAAGCAATAACAATGACACTTACAAAACTATAGTAGCATGAATCACAATTTATTAAAAACGATTTAACTTGAAAATTGTATTTGTTTTTATAAAATGAAAGCAATCAATTTTTATAACTGGGTCAATTTTTTGGTTTTTTGATAGATTTAATGTTGAACAACTCATTAAATCGCAACCAAACCGCATAAACCGCCCACATCAAACCGCACCGCATAACACAGTTTTGAACATCTGTGGTGCGGTTTGCGGTTTCTAAAATATTCAAACCGCATATGCGGTGCGGTTTGCGGTTTTGACTCTAAACCACACCAAACCGCACCGCGCACACCCTAGTGTCTACATGGTTGATGTTAGTTTTGTACATGCATTTGTTAACAAATCATAAATAGTTAGGGAAGGACATGTAAATGGATATTTATATATAGATTATCAATTTTGCAGAATTAGTAATATTACTGGATTGTTATTAGAAATTTGTTGGTATCGTTTATATATTTTGAGTTTATACAGAATAACAGAAGAATACCAACTGCATGGCGTGTGAGAGGGAAAGACGGAAATCAGTTACCGATACCATTTGCATATCATTTATAGGGAATAGATGAATTTGATCAATATTTATAAATAAATTAATTAGAAGAATAGGATTCCTGTATGAACACGAAATGATCATACCAATATTGTTATTCTGTAATGTCTGAAGGTAATCGAGTGACATGAATGTTGGTCGACAATTGGAAATTTTTCGCGTGGTCTCTAACTTAAAATTTGTTATGTATATGGAAGATAATAAATTAAGTTCTAAAATTCTGGAGAATTGTTTAAAAGTGATGACAAGGAAGATCTTACGAATTGTATGTGGAAGCGGGAAGTCTTTCCTTGATACGCCTTTGTGTTTGTGAGTAGGTTATCCAGGAAAACAGATTATAGACGCCTTAATAACCGTATAGCAGTTACAAGAAGTTTCTGGAAAGCCGGCTTGTGAGTTACTAAATCTCTGTCTGGTGGTGTTGGGTCCCGGCTGTAATCATCTCATCTGACATATTAATAATGGTTATTAAGTAAATTTATTCCTAGTGACTTACTGTACAAGGTAATTGGGGTTTTTTTTTTTCATTTTTTCAGATGATGGTACTTTGGTAATTTTGTAGTTTATATTGATTAAGAAAGGAAAACTAACAATTTATTGTGGTATTATATTATTGCATTTTATAAAAATGTATTATTTTATTAAAGTATTTTTTTAAGTAAATTTACTGTTAGTGACATATATATTTAAAAATCTATTATGTTATTATATTATTGCATTTTATAAAAATTATATATGAAAGGAGTTGTGGTATAATCTTATTTTATATAATAATAGTTTATAAGGTATGTAGTATTTAATTGCGATAATTTATATTTTCAGTTAGGTTATGTAAATCCTTTTTGTGGGCTTTGGTTATAAAGGATTGTAACACATAATTTGTGCGCCTTAATAACTTGCAAAAACATTAAACATTAATGAAAAGTTAATTTACTTTGTAAATTTTTTCAATGAAATTAAGTTTTCCCAACAAATAAAAAAGAAATCAGTACTACATAAACTTTATAAATAAAGTCAGTTGTCTATAATTTCTGTAGTTATGTGTGTCTCGCCAAAAAAAGGGAAATATACAAACTTCCATTAATTTCAGTTGAAATTTTTAATTATGTTGTTAGGTATATCCCTGAATTCGTATACCATCAATGATGAGATAGTTGTGTCATATTCCCGATTGTTCATTGAAGAATCCTGTTCCATTGTGTGTATTTGTTTCACTCCAAAAGTCCTTAAAAATGTTCATGGCTATTATTGTGATTTTAGCATTCCTTTCCCTACAAATTGGAAAAACAATCATCAAGTCGTCATATGATCGTAATGAAAAAAAAATGTTTATCTTTTATTTTGGTGAACTTAAATGTCTTCTTACGGATAAGCAAAAAACTATTTTGACAACTAAAGTGACTATGCCTGTTATTAACCTTATTTTGATAGTGTAGACTAAAGAAATGAAATGTTTTTTAATACAAGTAAACCTGATATATGCTTGAGTCTTTTCTCACACCATACATGTGCGATCCAGAAAAACAGTATAAAATGATAAGAAAAATACTTATATGAAGTAAATTCCTTTTACCATTTTCTTTCTTACCTAATTAACATAATTTTTTTACAATAAATGTAAATTCCTTGAAACAAAAAATGATATAAATGTCAGGTTGTTGATGCACTGTAACCATGTGACGGCTTAGATTTGTTGCCAATTCAACTGCAACTCCAATAGCAACACCATCTATAACACTGTTTAATCCCTATAAATAATCATATGAATTAGTAAAAACGGATTGAAAAACCTTTTTTAAGTGCAGAATTGATTGTGCAAATAAGAAGGTGAAACAGGCACGACACAAGTCATTTACTGTAAAAATCACCTTCATTTGTACCCTGTATAAAATTAAAGCAAGGTATTTAAGGTTGGATGAAATGTAATGTAATTAGTAACTCTATTCTAGACCTTACTTAGTTGATACCTGTGTGGTTGTGACAATTCCCTTTGAGAGGAAGCTCTATACCACTTCTGTTGATACATGCATGCCCCTGCAATTTTTTACAATTCACTATCCTGAATATGTACAAAAGTTGCTGAATTAGTACACTGATGTTACATTAACCTTCCATAATATAAATACTTGTAAAATAATAACAAACCTTCTTTATGGTTCATGGATTTCCAACAAGGGAGATAAATTGGGTTTGAACTGAAGTTTGACCATCAGTGTTGTAAAAATTGCATGTGTGGCTTCTTATTATTCTGTAACTTCCTGAAGTTTTGGTGTGATAATTGACCTGCAAAATTGAACTCAAATTTTCATTAATAGCCTATTGTTTGTTATAAATTGTAACTATTACAAAAATTGTAACTTGATTTTTGGATGTAGGAACATACATTTGGTTGGCATGTTGTAAGACTTCCTGATATACAATATTTTTAGTTTTATGGGTATCAGTACAATGTTGCGATTCACAGATATTAACTTTTACATTTTAAATTGTTCTAGCTCGTGATAGGGCAACATACAATTGCCCATGGGAAAAAACATGTTCATTCAGATATACACCTACATAGTCTAGTGTTTGGCCTTGTGCTTTGTTAATTGTCATTGCAAAGCATAGTTTAATTGGAAACTGCATTCTTTTGAATGGAACTGTGTATTCTTCACCTGTAGGTGGTTGTAAAGGTATTCTATGAATAAATACTTGTTTCCCAGCAAAATCTCCAATTGCTATTTCTGCACGAATGACATTCCTACCAAAATCTTTGCAAAAGAGTCTTGTACCATTACATAATCCTTCTGTAGGATTCATGTTTCTTAATAATATAATAGGTGCATTTTGCTTCAAAATTAGTCGATGTGGTGGCATACCATTTGGTGTCAAAGAGTGAAGAAGGTCTTCATAATGAGCTTGGTCGTTTGGATCAAGTGTTTCATCAAAACTAATATACTCTGTTTCTTTACCTGGGAATTTGTGTATTAAAATATCATTGATCTCATGTACAAAAGTGTTTTTTGTTGTCAATATAGCTCGGTTTAAAGTTGATTGGACATTGGTTGAACTCGTAAATATATTTGGGTAAACATAGTCTATAAGAACATTTAACTGATTTGCATTAGCATTATTTTCAATGAGTATTTGTTTAGGAAGAGTAACAAAATCATTATCGTCTGAGATTTCTTTTCCATCACCTAATCTTAGGAGAAATTTTGTAAACATCGGATCTAGTAAGGACCTCATGTTTTCATCTAGTTGTAGTAGACAAAGTGATTGCCATAGATGAGAGTTAGTCAAAACAGGAAGCAATTGTATTTGATTTGTTACCATTTCGAACAACAGGCAACGTTTGTCTAAAATCACCACAAAGTACAACTACTTTCCCACCAAAAATTTCTCTTGAATCCATAACATCTTGTAGCAAATCATCTAATGCTTCTAATGCGGATCGTTTTGGCATGGGAGCTTCATCCCAAATAATCAGTTTACAGGTTTTAATTAATATACCCAAAGAACATTGCTTACTAATCCTGCAATTTGACCCGTCAGTTAAATCTAATTGAATTTTAAATCTTGAATGAGCTGTTCTACCCCCTGGAAGTAATGATGCAGCAATGTCTGATGTT